CTGTTTGGAAATGTACCCCCTTTCCTTGCTGGATTTCCAAGGAGGCAGGCTGGCAGCAGAGTGCAGGTGTCTTCACTATGAGTAAGCCCTCTTGATGCTACAAAGTTCTAGGATGTCCTGCCAGTGCCTGGCATTCCTTCTCCCCTCCCAAAGGAGGTTTCAAGGATTCATGATTGACTCAGCCTGATGGAATAGCAACTTGCCGGCCCCCTAAAAATAGACCATCCTTCTCATCCTCCCAACATAGCTCAGGCCTTCCAGATATAATCAGCTGCGGAGGGGCAGCAAGACTCTCAGAGCCAGGATCAAGGCATAGAGAGTGGAGCAGGTCTCCTCCTTTGGATCTCCTTTACAACTGGAGCTTTTGGCTCCGCAGATAACACCCTAGGACTTGTGACCGAGAAGGCGCCATCCCGGATCTCTGGGCACTTTCTGTAAGTCTTTGCTTCAGGGGTAGCTGGGAGGGGAACTTAATTGGAATGAGATTCTGTCAAAGCACGGTCGATCTTCCTTGATCCGCTGTCTCATCCAGCTGAAGCCCCAGTGGGTGCGGAGGATTGTTAAAGAGCTCATTGAGCAAAGCCAGTTTAAGGCAACTAGACTTTCAATGTCCAGCTGAAACATCCACCAGATTATTGCAATTTAGCAGTGGCGGGCTGACTGGTGTTCCTCTACCTTAGGGGATAGTTCAGATCGTGTAGTACTTCGACAACTTCAATGTGCTTTTAAAAAATAGTATTGATTTTTTTTGTGGGTTTTTCAGGATGTGTGGCCATGTTCTAGAAGAGTTTCTTTCTGACGTTTCGCCAGCATCTTCAGATGCCAGCCACAGATGCTGGCGAAACGTCAGAAAGAAATTCTTCTAGAACATGGCCACACATCCCGAAAAACCCACAAAAAACTATGGATGCCAACCATGAAAGCCTATGACTTCACAGTATTGATTTTTATTTTTATTTTTATTGTTACACTGCATACAATATGGTAGGGGAGTCGAGTCTGGATTCAGTGCCTGCTGGACCTTTGCAAAACCATTGCGAAATGGAAGCGCCGAGTGTTTCTCAGACCATTTTGACCTTCTTGTCCCCCTGTTTTGACTTTGCCTGAGGCCTTTAGAAAACTGTGACTGTTCAAAATATATAAAGCAGAGATGGGCAATTGTGGCAATAAGGGGCAGTTTTCTATTCTTGGACCTTCTGGGGGCTGAGTGGACTGTCAAAAATACCACCACCACCCCAAAAAAACACAGAAGTCCACTTTCAGATAATGATTGATATTAAATAGTGTGCAGAGGGAGTGTAACTGCCCCTGGGAGGCTCCAGAAGAGACAGTTCAGAAAAAGGAAAGTTTGGAGTGGTTTTGCGGGGGTCATGGGCTGCAAAAACAACCTTGTGGGGCTACATTTGGCCCCAGGACCACGCTTTCCCCACTCCAATATCTGTGAACTGGAGGATGGAGGATGAAGGGTGTCTGGGAGCATCAGAGGCCTTCAAAAATGGATGGCATGGAGCCCCCAGATTTTTCAGACACTCCTGCTATTCCCAAAGAAATTTTCAAGAAAAAGCAGAATTTGGATTCTTGGAAGCTTCTGGAAGCAGTGGTTCTTTAAAACAAGGTGAAGGCCTGTCCTACTCTGCCCCTGCAAGCGGTTTTTCCAAGACTTGAAGTGGACAGCTGTGAATTTGCCCCAGAATTTGAAACTATATTTTTTTAAAAGACAGGGTTTGGAATTGAAATGTACTGAGCAAAAGCTAGAACTAGAACTAGCTTTTCTGATGTAAATTCTGATGTGCAAGTGATAATCATGACTGTCCCCATAGCCAAACCAAGGAAATTCCCCATTTCCAGAACCTGTGTTGAGCCATATCACCAAAGTAGTTCAGCAGTTTGTGCCTCCACCAAAAGCAGGACTTTTGTATAGCTAATGGTTCTTCATAGCCCACACAAGGACAAACCACTCCAAAATCCTTTGGATTTGAACAGTGATAGGTCACCACACTACATTGGCTGGAATCCTGTCAGTGTCTTACATATGCGTAAGTTGCCCTATGGAAGTGGTTGGATATTTTTGTCTGATGAGGAAGGCCTACATTTAGCTCAATGTTGTGGAAATAGAGTTTCGCATACAGTGCCATTGTGCACATTGGGTCATTTACTGGATTGCACATACTTTTGTGCAAGATTGCCATTCAGCACAAAAGTTGTTCATGGTGTTACCAGGTTTTCAAAATAGCAATGAGGAACAGCCAAAATTCATGACATGCAGGGTTGACAATCATGAGTCTCCCTTATCCGAAATGCTTGGGACCAGAAGTATTTTGGATTTGGATTGTTGAATATTTGCATATATTTTGTTGTTGTTGTTGTTGTTGTGTGCCTTCATAATGAGATATCTTGGAGATGGGATCCAAGTCTAAACATGAAATTCATTTCTGCTTCCCATACACCTTATACACATAGCCTGAAAGTAATTTTATACACAATATTTTAATAATTTTGTGCATGAAACGAAGTATACATTAAACCATCAGAAAGGACGTATGTTACTATCTCAGCCACCCACATGGACAATTTTGGATGATGGAACATTTTGAATTTTGGAATTCTAGATAAGGGAGACTCAATCTGTATTGACAAGTTTGTGTCTTACCTAAATACCAAATGAAAGTATTGATTTCAGTTCAGTTGACCATGCATTTCTGTGTAAAATTAACATATTATCTGTTTTCATAAATGATGCACTGCACAAATTTCTGTCTTTATGGAAGGCCCAAAATATGGGCTTTTGGGGGGCATCTCACTCTGTATAAAAAGAAAAACTTTCCACCCCACAAATAGGCGATATAGAGATGCTTGGTAGCCCTATAAGGGTCATGATTTCTGGACCTCAAATAAGGGACATCCCTTGTAATAACTGCTAATTGTCCTAACTGCACAGTACAGTCAATGCATAATTCTGCATGCTGAGTTTATGAAAGCTAGCATGGCGTAGTGGTTTGAGCATTGGTGGAGATCAGGGTTTAATTCCCTGTTCAGCCATGAAAACAAACTGGGTGACTTTGGGCAAATCGCACAGTCTCAGCTTCAGAAAACTCCATGACAGGTTCACTTTAGGGTCACCATGGGTACATCTGCACTGCAGAAATAATCCAAGGTGACACCACTTTAACTGCCCGGGCTTAAATACTATGGAATTCTGGGAACTGTAGTTTGTTGTGGCACCAGAGCCCTCTAACAGAGAAGGCTAAATGTCTCACGAAACTACAGTTCCCAGAATTCTATAGCATTGAGCCATGGCAGTTAAAGTGGGGTCAATCTTGATTATTTCTGCAGAGCAGATGCAGCCCATAAGCCGGAAACAACTTGAAGGCACACAACCACAACCACAACTCAGACATAGGATTTTGTCTGTTGTTTCTGGGAAAACTCATCCCAACCCTTCAATTATTCTGAGGTCTGAAGACTAAAATCAGACCGAAGAGGCAGCTCTAAGGGGTAGGAGTGGCAGGTGGCATCACAATCCCTGCAAATGAAAAGGTTGCAGTGCTTTGACCCTATAGACTCTGAGTCCACTACACCCCTGAAATGTGTCCTCCACGGACAACATTGTGTGGTCACTCTTCACCCAGTGGCAGGTTGCCAACTTCAAATAAATGTTCGATAGGAGTGGCAGAGAGTGGGAGTTTTTTCCCCTAGAATTTTGTAGGGCTGCCCTGATGAAAACAAAGGGACCACAGTTTCCATCAGGCTGGTGATGGCCAAGTGAAAAAGGATAGAGAGGAAAATATGAGAGAGAGAAAGAAAAAAGAGAGAGATCCAGGGCATTTGTACTCATCAGGGGATATTGGGAAGTGCAGTCTTCTGTTGTTCCATAGCCAAAGAAAAGGGGCAAGGAAAGTGACCAAGGGAATGTGAACAGAGCCAATAGAAGAGTTGTAGGTGTCAACAATTTTCACTCTCTGCAATGCAAGAAATTTGTGGATTGAAGGAAAATTTCATGGCAGGGGGGAGAGCAGAAAGCTTATTTTCTGAAGGAAAAACAGTATTCCTGCACGGAATCCCATGTAAATTTTGCATAGAAAATCCTGAACTGTGAAAATTCTTTACAGTCCAGGACTCTTGTGTCAATCCAAGATTCTGTATTTTGGACTCATTATTTCTATGGTTTTTCAAAACACTTGCAACACCATCTTTCTCTGATACCTTCATCGATATTTAACCCTCCAAATGGTCGCCACATTTTGAGACACACACACACACACAACCTTTCCCTGTGGAGGAATGAAACTTCCAAGACTGAGCATCTCTCGCCAGCTGCCTGCTAAAAGGGAATATGCCTCCCCATCCCAAGCCACCCCCTCTCAGTTGTCAGTGGTGAACTATCTTTGCATTTCTGGTCCAGGAATAGTACCCTTGCATTCTTTCAAACATGATTGTCTTTCCTTCACTCTCTCCCTCTTTCTGTCTGCCTGCAAACTCAACCAAATGTAACAAGCCTTGTAACAATAAGTCCTTGGCTTAAGGAAGGTGTGACTCTTTATCAGAAGCAAAGGACTTACTGCAGCCATGTGAGAAAGGCAACTAGCTGGCCACATTGTGAACGGAAGTCTATATTAGAGATGGAAAGAATATTCATTATTACGGTATTGTTCCTAGGTCAACAAATAGGGATCCCAGCAACTGGGAAACCCTGGCTGTGTGTGTACATGGGTGAAATACTACATCCCCCGTCCCTGTCCTTACGACAATATAGGGCCAAATTTCTGGTTCTGGTGCAAACTGTCCAGACAATGTATAGTCAGTTCAGCACTGTTCATGCAATATATCATCCTTTGTTGTTGCTGTTGTTGTGTGCCTTCATGTCATTTCCAATTTACAGTGACCCTAAGGCAAATGTATCATTGGATTTTCTTGGCAAGATTTGTTAAGTGGAGGTTTGCCATGGCCTTGCCCTGAGGCTGAGAGAATGTGACTTGCTCAAGGTCACCCAGTGGGTTTCATGGCCAAGCTGGGAATTGAACCCTAGTCTCCAGAGTCGTAGTCCAATGCCCAAACCACTGGCTCCCTTGCAACAGATTAAAAAGACTTACCTTTTGCTCCTGAAGATACAGAGTCCTCCAGAACAATGGTGGACAGCTGTTTACAATGCTGTGCCACTCACAGTTGTTGGCATGAGTGAGGTCAGAACAAGGTGCCCAAATGTGTGATCAATGCTAGGTGCCTCATTTTCAGTCTCAGAGGCTCACAGTGGCTGCACCAGTGGGTGGCACAATGGGACACATATGTGAAGAAGTACCTGGCATTGCTTCAAAGTGCCAAATAATGCGGGACTCCTGGGCAACTTCGGACCTAGAATAATCCTGACTGGTCTCAGAGCATTCTGGCCTTGCAGACACCACCCCTGTGAAGAAGACTAGTAGGTCAGAGAGAATTGTCTGCCATTTTCTCCTGGTACTCAAACATCCCAAAGTGTTGCGGAAGAATTTTTCTGCACAGAAAAATGCATGGATGGCATCCTGTGAGGCAGTTATGTCATCATAATTTGGAGTTTTAAAGCTTCATAAATATTTAATATTCACATTTACAGTTATGGCACCATTGCCACCACCTCAAATGTCCCTAAAATTTGCCTTAAATGCCAGACAGTTGTACCAAGTGAAGGAGTTCAGTGCAGGGCACTGAAGGGTGATGCATCCAGTCCACTCCCATCAGCAAGCAACTGTGTGATAAACAGTTGTGAGAGGGCTTTGCAGGGGTCTCTACTTCTGGTCATTGCATTGCTCCTCACTTCTGGCTGGTCATGTTGTCAGTGCTTCACTTGCCAGTGGTGCAAACTCTTTTGCTTGGTACAGTTACCTGGCTTTTAAGTTCAATTATCAGATCTGGAGACATAGATTAGCCATGACATCATAGCTATATGTTCCAAGTGGGACTTCAGCCATAGTTTTTGTTTTAAATGTGTGAAAAAGTCTGTTTTCTAAGTAGAAAACTGGTTGTTTGCACCAAAAACAAAACAAAACACCACCTGTTTTTTGCACTGAAAACAATGTTTCCTGCACAAGAAACCTGCTCCCTGCACAGAGAACATGGTTTTCTACACAGAATAATTTGTCTGCAACATTTCAGGATGTTCAAATACTGAGATAATGCTGCAGCGGAAAATTTGTTTTCTCTCACAGTGGGAAGAAAACATCATAATTATAAATGTACTTGTCCACTTGGTTGAACACTTGATGTTTTGATTCCATGCAAAGACACAATGGTAGACAAGTTACATTCCTACGCTAGACTAGAGGCTTTCAGGCTAACCTGGCACCATTCTTGTAATGCAACTAAGCAACCAAGATTGCAATCTTATACCCACTTACTTAGGTATTCATTTATGACCTTAACAATCCACTTCCCAACTTTTTAGTCACATTTTGCAAGGGTGACAGAGTCCTATCACATAAGATGACACATTTG